TTATTTATATTTCATTTTTATAGTAACAATTAGTTGTATTTATTTTTTATATTTAAAAGAAGCTACAGAAAATGTCACATCAATTTGACAAAAAATTAAAAAATTTGAATTTTTTTAATTTTGCAAAAAAGTTATAACTTTTGTTCAGCTTTATATTTTTCAATCGGATATGGCTAAAATTTTAAGTTCTGTAGGCGCAATATTTAATATGTTTGGATTCTAAGGTATTATTTGTAAGAAACTTCTACGGGACACTTGCAAAGATGGAATTAAGTAATAGACGACTGTATGAAGAAATATAATAAATAAATGTAGATATTATTTTAATATAAAATTGAGAGTATAAATTAATATTAGAAAACATTAAAGTTTCATTAATAATATAAAAATAATAAATGTTATTTATATAAGTGCAGTTAAAATGTGCTTGATTAACTTGAGAAATTTTAATGTTTGAATATAATATAAGTACTGTTTTAAAAAAGATATTGTATATAAGAATACTAAAAGAAATATTATTGTATATACGTAATACCTGAAAGAATTGAGACAACGATCCTGCATATTCAACTTCAAACACCGATGTAACATCTTCAACTGTTTGTGTACAGTAAGGGCCAATAATTAGATTTACATTATTAAAACAATTATTTTCTCTTATTTCGCTTAAAATCTTTTGTCGAAGAGATGGCGTTAAGCATGAGCAGATGGCATAAAAAGCTATACAAGCCTAATTGTAAATAATTTTATGATCATTGATGATATTTTATGTTTAAGTAAAGATATGTGGACGTCCACATGAAAAGGGCCCATTTTGGCACTATTGGAGTTATCTATATGGGCGTATTCCTGGCAAAATTTGGAAAATTTTGAGTGGTCTTAGAACTTTTTTGGTTAAAAATTCGCTGAGTTACGGAATTTCAAAGTTTAGAACGCCAAAAACCTCATTTCGAGAAAAACGGAATTAAAGATTGCGATACCAACTAATTGTTGTATCTCTGGTTCTTCTTGGAAGTTATTCAGATAATAATTGTTTCCAGTTCAGGGCACCTTGGAGATAAAAAACCAACAGGTTTTAAATTTTTTAAACCACCCCCTCCCCTTAATTAATTAATTAATTTAAAAACCGACAATATGGGCCCTTTTCTAAAAAGGACAGTTTTTCTATTAAAAAACAATTTTTTTACAAGATTAATGATTGGGTGGAATTTTATTGCGTCATTTGAAAAAAAATAATCGAAATTAAACTTATTTAAAATTTTTTGACAGTCTCTATTATAAAAAAATTGACGCAATATCCAAATTTTCATTTTGACAATTACGAAAATCAAAATTCTAACATCAATATCTCTGGTTCTTCTGGGAAGTTATTCAGATAAGAATTGTTTACAGTCCAGGGTACCTAAAAGATCAAAAACCAAAAAGTTTAAAATTTTTAAAACCATCCCCCCTCTTAATTTAGAAAAATTTCGTTTTTTAAGTACGAAAAACCGACAATATGGGCCCTTTTCTAAAAAGGACAGTTTTTCTATTAAAAAACCATTTTTTTACAAGATTAATGATTAGGTACAATTTTATTGTGTCATTTGAAGAAAAAGAATAGATATTAAACTTATTTAAAAATTTATGACAGTCTCTATTATGAAAAAAATTGACGAAATATCCAAATTTTCATTTCGATAATTACGAAAAAAGACTCTAACATCAATATCTCTCGTTCTTCTGGGAAGTTATTCAGATAAGAATTGTTTACAATCCAGGACATCTTAAAGATGGAAAATCAAGAGGTTTTAAATTTTTCCACACCTCCATTTTTAAAATACGGATTACTTTTTCAAATGACCGACAAAATGGGCCCTTTTCATTTTTCTAAAGAACCAATGAAATCAAACAGTTAAATTATCGATAAATTAATAAAAACCGCATGATTCGACTTGTCAAAACATGTAGATTGATAATAAAAAGTAAAAAAAAAATTAAGATTTTTCTCCAAAATTACTAAATTGCGATTATCTCGAAAACTAGAACCGACAATATGGGCCCTTTTCATGTGGACGTCCACATATTGTAAAATCAAAAATGAAAAAATAAATAAATTTAAATTTTATTCTCTAAATTTGAACCGCCAAAAAGTTGCTGATTTATAGTCCAGAATATGTAGCTGATTCAAACAGCGTATAGATGTCGTAGACAAATAGAAGAGTCCGGCATTAAGCTTACTTTTTAGGCAGTTAGCTTACTGTCGGCAAATAGACAAATTCATGAAATAATCGTTTATTAACAAAGGCATTAAGCTTAGTGTCCGGAAATAAGCTAAATGCCCAACCCCTATTCATCCCTCGAAATATTAACCCAAAATATTTTATTCTTAGCAGATGAGAAGGAAATTCCAAATCACTTTTTTCGAATATTTAAACAATTTTTCTATTAGTTATTTATCAAAATTCCGAGAATTCTATAGTTTCCAAAAAGTCTCAATCAAACATATTCTTTTCTTTTTAAATGAGAAAATTAAAATCTGGAGTCTCAATTAGCCATTCCGTTGTCTTTGCAAAATTTTGATTATTTTGCAAGATATTATGACTTAAAATTTTAAGTCGCTGTTTTTTCAGCAACTTTTATTTCGAAATTTATGATAGGAACAGTTGGAGTAAATAGAAACAGATTTGCTAAGTTTCACCAATAATACAAGTTTTTTCTTTTCATAACGCGGTGCTAAAAAAGGCACTTTTTTGCACCTTGTTATGAAAAATATCGTTCGTAACTAGTACGAGCAGTTGCCAATTTTTGAACGAGCACTTTTTTTGGAACAAACTGTCAGTTTGTTCCAAAAAAAGTGCTCATTCAAAAATTGGCAACTGTTAGAGTCGAATTTAGAAATTTTAATTTTAAATTATTAATTTTTAAATAAACTTTAACTTAACGTGTCCTTCGGACAAAGAAATTGTAAAGGTAGTGGATCCCCCTCTACTTAGTTATTGTTTCAACTAAGAGGTTGAGAACCCTACTCTTGTGTGAAATGAGAAGATAGGAAAATTGTTAGGATGTTTGAATTAAACCACAAAATGAAGATAATAACAATTAAATGTATATATTTTACCCAAAGTCCCTATTACAGATAAATCTAATTTTATGTGTAAGAAGAGTAAGTGTATCTGTGTGAATGGAATATTAGTGTGTGTTGTGACACGTAAGATCTTTACTCACTACTCGGTGATTCTTCCTTGGTAATACGAATCCAATGAATGTGTCTTGTCTTTACACCTGCTTCACGATGTTTTTCCGAAAAATTCAGGAAATACCAAATCTAGGTTCGCTAGACTGATATTTCGCTGGGAACTTTAATATTCTTTTTAAGTTGCACAAAGTTTAAGATCTGAACCTCGTAAATAAAGGTTGTCTTCTAATATATATTTGAAATTAATGTTATTTATTCTTTAGTAGCTTTACTTTATCTTATTCTTTATGATATAAGAGACTTTTACTTTACTTTGATCACTTTAATTCTTTTATATTTTTTTCATAAATTCCTTTATTTTTATTCCACAAATTTTATATTCAATATCATTTATATTATTTTCAATATTTTCTTTTATTTCCTTTTTTTCTTTTTAATTATATCACTTTATTTTATTCTCTATATTTCAATTATATATTTTTTAAATTCAACCTTTTTTTATTTTTATTTATTTATGTTTTTCTCAATTAAATTCACTTTTCTTAACAAACTTCTTATTAATTTCTTTAAACTTCTGAGAAATATTTCAACTTTGAACTCGGCTAACTTGCCGGACTTAGAAAATGCCTGGCCCAAACTGCCGGCTACAACTACAGGTGACTACGACCTGGACTAAACTGCCCAGATTTCCCAGTGTCAATCAATTTTATTGAAAGACGATTTAGTGGGGGAAATCATAAATTAAGTTCATTGCACTTGACTGTTGTCAAGCCATTTTCCGCAATCTTGCAGATTTCGGCAGTGGTGTGATCCGAGTTCAGTGACTTGGATGCACCACTCCTTATATTGGGCAATTTATTTCAACAATTTCTCAAAAAGGTCAATAAGCTGTTTGTCAATAAAGAGGAATTTGTTGAGAAATACTGTACTATATTTCTTAGGTTTTTTAACCCCAAGAATTGCGAAACTCAAAGGAATGTTAAATTTAATTGAATTACTTATTTTTTTAGAATTAGGTTTTTTGATTAATAGAAATGCATTGGATTAGAATATCAAAACGAAGAATTTCTCTTTTGTGAGATTGCAAATATTACAAAGGGTTGTTTTGTGTAAGTGTTTTCTATGATGTTTAACAAAAATCTTGTGTTTTCTGTTCAATTGTTGCGAATGATTTTAATTTAACTATGATTAAAAGATATTTGACAATATAATAAGTTACGGAGTTCGGCCGTAACAAATGCCCCCTTTTTATTAGGCTGACGTCCCTTGTCAGCTGCTATGAATGCGTGTTGTTTGTGTTGTGGTCCGATGTTGTATCCTTGTAGCATAAAGTTGTTAAATAACTCTTTCGAGTTTTACAAATATTTTGTCCTCTTTTTTTTTTACATGAATGGTACTGCTGAAAGGTAAGAAAATTTGTTAAGAAAAAAAATAAAATAATTGAGGAGAAAAAAAATTAAAATAAATTCCCTTATTTAAAAAAAATAAATAAAGAGAAAAAAAAATGATCTTCGACGGACGAGCTGTTATTTTGTGAGTGGAATTGCTGAGTTTGCAAATTTAGTTTCCGTGTCAGTGTAACGTCAAGGTAAGTAGAAGGCCATAAGTGTAATATGATATAGTAGTTTTATTCTGATTTTAATTTATATAAAAGAGAGAAAGAAAATATTGCTTTTTGTTATAATTTATTGATTATATAAAAATTTTTTTAGCTCTTAGTTCCGAAAGAATTATATAAAAAAAAAATTATGTATTTTTGTAAGATAGGTGACAACATTGTTGTTACTGCCCCCCTTTTTATGAACTGTCGTCCCTTGACAGTTTATAGATAATGATAAAAAAATTAAGATATGATGTTAGGTCAGGATAAACGAAAGGGTGTTAAATCTGATTTTTGGAGTGGAAAAAATTTTTGTATCGAATAAAAATTTAAGTTTATTGTGAATGTAAGTTGAGTATTTCTTCCTGTTTTCAGTCCTGAGTTTCAGTTTTGTTTCTCACGGTTTGATTCTGCTAACTTGTGTTTTTGGTTAGTCGAGGTGATTTATGTCTTATGTTTCGTCAGTTCTTTTCGACATCTAGTTGTGAATAGTCGATAGTTGTATTTGTGATTTTGAAGTGTTTGTTTTGTGTTTTTAATTTTTTTAATTAAAATGGCTTCTTTTAATTTTTCCGTCATGGCGCAGGTGTTAGATTATGTTGATCGGGGCATTGTTAGTACGGAAAGTTTTCTGTTACTAAAATTGACTGAGATTGAGGACGCTCAGCGTTCTTCGTTTGAACGTGGAGAAAGAGGGTAAGTTGTTTTTATATTTTGTGTTTTTAAATGATGTGTATTTTCTTTTGTATATATATTTTTTATAGTATCAAATTGTTTATGTGTATATATTTTTTAAATATGTGCGTTAAGTGTTCTTCTACTTTTTTTTTATAGTGTACGGGTTGTAGTTACCCCTTGGCAGGATGCGGAATTGAGGGTGGTTTTTGGGCCTTGGCCTCTTTTACATCATCGTTTTTTTAATGGAGGGGCACCTTTCGAGGATGCTGTTTGGTATCAGGAATACCGCTGGTCTTGGGAGTTTAAAAAGTATGAGTTTCGGACTTATTGGGCTCCTTCATCTTATATTAATCCAACTTCCTGTGACGTACCCGAAGATGAACCGATGGAAGAGATAATAGGGATTTTAGGTGTTAATACTGTTTTTCGGTGAGTTTATTTGTTTTGATGGGGAGAGAGAAGAGAAGGAAGAGAAAAAAATGTGTATTTTTATTTCTGTCCTTTTATATCTTGTTGCAGACCTTTCTCAGCCTTGCCCTATAGTCCTCCACGGATGGGTTATCGGCCTAAAAATGCTGCCTTGGAGCTCGTCTATGTGCAGCGGTATAGATTGGAATGGGAGGAACCCGTTTCTATTTCTAATGTTTGGGATATTGTGAGTAGTTATTAAGAATTAAATAGTTTTTGTTGTTATTCTTATCGATTTATTTTTTAAATTTATCTCTTTTTCTTTTTTTTTTAGCGTTGGAACGTGAGTCTGCAGAATGTTTGGTTTCCGTGTTAATAAGTGTATTTTTATTCATTACTATTCATTTTCTTTATGTTGTAATTTTTTGTGAAAAATGTATTAGATTTTGGGTTTTATTTTAATAAATTGAAAAAATGTTTTGAATTTATTTTTTCTGTTTTTTTTTTTTAAATTTTTATCTCCTTCTAATGTTTTGTTAGTTTTTATTGTTAAAAGAAAGAAATATTATTTAATATTAAAAATTTTTTTATTGGACTGTTTTTTTTTTTGGAAGATTAAAATAAAAAAAACTTCTTGAGCATATAAAAAATTTTTGAGTCAGTTTTGTTATTAAAAATTGTTAAATTTTTTGTTAAATCCTATATTATTGAAATATTTGTAATTTATATATATATATATATATATATATATATATATATATGTATATATAATATATACATATATTCTTTGTTATATTGAGGTAAGTATAATTTATTTGAAATTTTGTTATTGGGGATTTTTTTTATTGTTAAAAAAATTTTAGTTGTTGCAGTTCAATAAATTTCTCCTTTTTTATTGTTATTTTAATAATTTCCATTTTGTAAAATAAATTATTGTTTATTTCATGCTTTATAATGAAATCATAATCTATTTTTATTTGTTTCTTCAGTTTTTTTTTTATTATAAAAAAAATTTTAAATTAAATAATTTTTGAAAAAAAAAAGTAATACCGATGTGCGTTTTTTGTAAGTAAATTTTGAAGTAACAAGTGTAATTGTCGTGTGGGGTCAGCATCTCCTGGTGAGGTGTTAATTGTTTTGCTTCTATCTATTCTTTTCGTCGCTGCATTTCCTTATCTTCCCCCCTGTTTTAATGCAGTATAGGTATGTCCGTCAGTATCTTTCGTGTGTTGTTATGTTATAGTTCGTCGTGGTTATATGTGTATTTTTTTTTGGTGTTATAAATTTTATTGAGATTTTGTTTCTTATGTTTAAAGTGATTGTTCGAATTTTGGATTAGTTCCTGTTTTTTGCTTCAACGTGAGTAAAATAAAAATAAAAAATTGTTTATATTTTATGATAAAATATAAAATATATAATGAAAAAAAATAATGAATGATAGAAAGTAATTTTTATAAATAACAGTGTAATTTCTTTGATTTTTTTGAGAATTCTCTTTTTTTAAAATTATTAATTTTGTCACGTTCTATAGTTTAGTGCGTTATGACTTTCTATAAATTTCCATAAATTACCACTAAAATTTATAAATTTCCATAAATTACCATAAATTACCGCGAAAATTTCATAAATTACTAAATCTTAAGTATTTAATAATGATTTATATTTTACATATTTTTATTTATTGTAGTGAAATTTCCTATAAATTTCTATAAATTATCGCGAAAATTTCCATAAAGTTACCAAAATATTAATTTTTGTATGAGATCACCTTTGTATGCATTTATGAAACATGTGAAATTATTAATTTGATGTTCAAACTTTTGAAATTTCTGTTTTTTTTTTTTAAATGAGATAATTTTGTATGTTATGTTCAAGTGGATTTGTATAAGTTATTTTATTCTATTTTGCTGTGTTTCGTGGCTGGCCTTGGTATGTAATTTAACTCTAATTTACTTGTCAGCGTATTTTCTCAATTTGGAATTTCTTTTATATACTCTTTGATTTAACTTTGTCTAACGATTGTTGTTTTTAAATTAGTTATTATTACTATTTTTTTTTACCATAATTTATTGATTGTTTATAAAATTGTTATTATTAATTTTTATTAGAGATTTTTTTTTTAAATTTATTTCATTAACCGTTTTAGAGATTTTAGTATTGAAAATATTTAAAGAAAAATTTACAATTTTAATTCTTAGTGTTTTTATTAAAAAATTGTTTATTTATTGAAATTAAATAATTACACGCGTGAATTTATACACGAAATTTTGCGAAAGAAAAAAAATGGTATTTTTGTTATTTCGCCCAAAAAAAAAAAAAAAAAAATTTACTTAATTTTTCATTGAAATTCTGAAGGAAGTTAAAAGAAATAATATTCAATTATTCTCCTTCGCGCGAGATTCTCAGTTCTCTCTATATATATATAGATATATACGAGGTACTGTATGCATAGGCTCTATGCATGGCACTCTCGTCCTCGGCTTCTACCGTTCAGTATACGCAAGCATGATCCGCGGTTGTCACGAAGCCATGCTTGCTACTTTTACGGCGTTTCCCCCGCCTATATCTTCTCGGCGCGTTCCCAGTTTGTCGACGAAGCAATGCTTTGCCCTGTACGATCTGTTCTTTGCTTCTTTCTACTTTTACCAGCTCCCCGGCGTTTTCACACTTCCC